ATATATCTCATACGGAGAACTTGCCAAACACCCGAGCAGAGTATCGAGCGAAGGCAGAGTACATGGGACACGCGCTGTCAACGGCCATAAACCATTACGAGCGTCGGTTTTCACGTTGATCCGCAATTTTCAATCGGTGCGCGTTTTGTACTCAGGAGAAATTTTCTGCACTCGGAAGTAAGTAACAGCAGTTGCCGCATATACAACATGTCTGGGGGTCCGGAGCCCCAGCCTCCAGATGCAAGTTCCAGCCAGCCCGGTAGTGCCACGTCAAAACGGTAGCCATTTACAAGAGAGTGACCCGGTCCTGGTCACTAGGCCTTAAATACCGTATACTCCGGACAGTACTTAAGGCTAAAAATCGAATAGCTGTCCCTCAGCCCTAAGTACTATACTGGTTTTTCGACGTAAGTCAAACCGGGATCCGAACATTCCGGCGTACGTAATTCTAGCTTCGGACGTCCGCCCTACGGACTCAAATTTCCACGTGTCCCTTGACTGGAACCCATGCCTAAACACGTGCCCTCATGTTCTCTCACTCTATAGCCTATAGCCTGAACTCGACTGAGGTCCTGACTCCAGACGCAGCACTTCACAACTCACTTGTGCAAGGTAAGGGCGCCAGCAGGATTTGCGCATGTTTTCTACAAGAAGGCTGCCATTTGACGCGCTCATGTTATGTAGAATGCTGAGAGCACTGCATTCTTACAAGTAGGCAGCTGACACTCATGAAGCCACCGTGAACTTGGGGTTGGACACCCTTGATTGACTTTGGCGCTGAGGAGCAAGCATGGCAGAGGTGAATGCTGAAGCTCTTCCTCTTTTGCATGTTTGCAAGTCAGCAATTATTGGATGTTCAAAACATACCCAATGTGGGTCGAAATGTGTTCTGCACAATATTGGCTGCAAGGCAGGGGCGAATGCTCTCCCCTTTTGCTCATTTTGTGCCGGAAGTTAATGCTGGTGGCTAGGTGTGGTGCTTTGCTGCTAAATGAATGGGTAAGGTTCTGAAGTGGGTTGTGATGGTAGTGGTTATATACTTCACATTTCACAATATAAACTCAGTGTTCTTAGCAGACAAAGTATCCCTAAACTGGCATGGCTTCCAAGAATGATGATGCCGTACAGGAATAGCAAAGACAGATGGCTCAAATGTAGGTGCAATGTTCAATGGTGTATTTTGTCTCCCTTTCTAGGTTGGGGGTACTCTCTAGGGGCCCCTTTTTGGAGCAGTCTCAACCGCGCCTGCCTCTTCTGTCTTTTAGCGCGAGTCTTACATATTTCAAGTGCTCAATCCGCAAATGTCCTTAATCTCTACGGGGCTACCAGCATACTATCTTAATCGGCTCCAAAGTCACCTTCCGAATGTCGACAGAGGAATGGTAGATTAAAGTTGCCAAGGTAATCTACCATTGGCTTTGGTTCTGCTGGCTGGGGATAGAGCACAACACGTTCGGTCTGATTGTTTGCCGGCACCGTTGGAGGTGTGCTCTGGTTAATCCGTTTGAGTTGTTCCATCCTGTACTCATGGTCATATGCTGCCTGCTGCAGCTTTAGCTTCTCTTGCTCCAGACCCAGTTTTAACTGTTTCGTCTTGTAACCCAGCTCCATCTGCTTCGTCTTTTCCCGTTCGATCTCTAGGCTATTGTCTTGAGCATCTGACATTGCTATATCCCTAGAAGTAGCTTGGCGGCACGCCTTTCGCATGAGGTTAAATAGCCTCTCCTCGGTCAGAGTCCCCGGCATGCAGGATGTCTCCCGTTGAACACTACTCCCAATCTTCAGAGGCTGTATGTTGTCCTTGATTTCTAGAATTTTGCGGAAAATATCCTCTGCTTTCTTCGGGTCATCTGCTTTCACCACATGGAGCAGCTCAAAAAAGTATGGCGGAGTGAAAGTTCGCTTGTGTGCATTGTATCGTGCCTTCAGATCTGTTGTCTGTCCGAATTTGCACAGTCGCTAAGGTTGTTGCTGGATAACTCCGATGTACAGGCACTTCTTCATATCATACGTCAGGAGACGTGCCTGCTCTCTGTCAATGCCCAACTGCTTCTTCTGCGTCAGCTCGATGCAGGCGTCTCGAATTGCGCGAAAGAACTCCCGCACCTTGTCGCCAATCTTGGTTGCCGCTAGCAGGGCAAAATGCTCGAAGGCTTGGGTAGTCATGTATTACTTGTCTACTGGGCGACCACCTTGGTGAAGGTTTTCATCCAGCACGGAGGCATTTTCAGACACCTGTCTAGAAAGCAAACTCCTCTCTCTTGTTACATTGTAGTCGACTCCTTCTTTAAAACGTCCATTCTTCAGCTTTTTGCCTGCATTCGCTTTGCTACCGTATCCCAGAAACTTCCACGCACTGTCGAAGTCGATTAGAAACGTGTTCCTGTTGTCATTGAACGCTTTGATGAACATGGTTGCAAAGTTCTGATCTCCTTCAAACCTCACATCATGCATCGAAGGACGTGAGAGGTTCTGCCCTTGGCTGGTCTCTCTCGAGTACATGGCTTCCTTATACCACCTTCCCTCTAGGCTGACGGGTCCCAAACCTCCGTTCTATGCAGAAACAGAACAAGAAAGAGGAGCCAGTAGAAGATGACAGTGCGACCATCGACGATGAGGTTGGTAATCAAGACTGTGTACTTCTGAGATCTACTTCCGCAGTGCTTGGTTTTTTCTGAGGCTTCTCCTCGAGAAGCTTGCATCTCTGCCGAAGTCAGTTGCCTAGGCTTCAAAAGGCCTTGCTTGTATCATTCGATTTGGGTGCGCAAAGAACGGGCTCGATTCCGAAATCGGACCCCCCCGTGCAGGTCGTGCTGATCGATTCTACGCTCGATGACGACGCTGTTTCAGAGCCCAATGTTTGCCAGTCTCGGGTATGTTTTGCACTCATACTTTGTGACCGTTGGAGCAACCGCTTGCTGAGGGCTTTTGATCTGTTTTCGTACTCTTTGACCGTTGGAGCAACCGCTTGCTGAGGGCTTTTGATCTGTTTTCATACTCTTTGACCGTTGGAGCCACCGCTTGCTGAGGGCTTTTATTCTGTTCTCATACTCTTTGACCGTTTGGAGCAACCGCTTGCTGAGCAACCAACGCAAGAAGATGGATTGCGTTGAAATTCACGCAATGAATGGATGTAGTTTCTCGAACGTTCACCATCTGCGTCAAACATAGGTGGTGGGAATAGAAAAAGAGGAGCCTTCGACACGAGTACTATAACATAGCTTACACGATCTTCGAATTCGGGATCAGACAAACAATTGATTCATGTATGCCACTGGGAGCCTATGGCCCATGTGGGTTTGGCGTTCGAAAAGAAAACATCATGCACTCATTAAGTCAAGAAGCTTGAGCTCAAGTGCATGGCAAGCTAAGCCTTCATTTGGTGAGTGTCATATCATCAAAGCCGCACATGTAGCGCAGCTATATATGTTGGGCAGCCTGCATGGATCCATGACGAGCTACACTTGAATAAATTAAACATTGCTGTGTCACACAACATATCTCCCGCAGACGTTGGATCCAATGTTCTGTCACGCACGCACGGTAAATTATGGCTTGCACGCCTTTGGCTGCACATATCCATTCATGCGCTCGCGACCGCGTCTTGGATCTGCATCCGCCGACGGTCATGCACAATGGATTCGTACCGCGGATGTTGCTGCAACACAAGCTAGACAACTCGGCCTTTGTCAATTGCCGCATACCAAGGAAGGCATGCGTCCAGTATGTGTACACTAGGCTAGATGCCGAGATGATTTTCATCGATGCGGGCACCTCTGACTGGCAATGCGTCAAACATGGCACGATCTTACTAATGATCTGGTGTCTTGCGTGATGATTAACTGTCTCACGCGTGCCCGTGCATCGAAAGAGGATTGAGAGTCATGGTCTATTACGTCATCAAAGCTTTGGAGAACAGACTTCGTGTGGGCAGAAATGATCTTCTAAACACAAGCAAAAGAAGAGGACTTCTATTCAAACTTCGTATCATGTTCTCTCTAAAAAGATATCCAGGCGTTCTCAAGAGCAATCTCATCAAGATACCTCAAACCTGGCGCTGGGTACACGGCCCGTGTCAAAACAAGTGTTGCAAACAAGGTGGTCTGGTGTGCATGATGTTAAATCTCTACTAGCTAGGATAAGGTACTTGACAAATCGTGCCGTAAGGTCATCTGGGCTCCAATAAGTGATCAATGCATGCGGTCAACACTAGTGGCTAACGAGAACAGGAGTACTCGACTAAGTAGTGCAATCAGAGCGCGATCAGGCGAGCCGTCTGGTTTTTGGGAGCTGACCTAGCCCTGAACTCGACCCCCTTCGACAAGAATCACCTGGTGCTGCCTGCGAGCGGTTGAAGAAGTGTGACTACAAGCAAAAAGTTGTTTTCAATCCTCAAGTACCCGGATCCCTGACAATTAAACCTCTTCTTTGGAGATAGAGACCAAATAGATGAAGATCCGTTTGCGAGTAAGCAATTAAAACTTGTACAGAGACAACAAGTAATCATCTTTTTGATACACCTTGCTCAGTTTCATGAATCAAGTGTGCGAATCAAGCATCCCCGACCTGATTCCAACATACTAGATCAACAATGCTGGACTTGAAGAGCCATATATTGCAAGAGGCCTCATAGCCAGCTTGAACGCTCTCCTTGAATAAAGTGGGTAGGTTGCAAGGGCGCTGAGGTCCACGATTGCTGGATTTCTTGGCTGAAAGGTCGCCACTCTCCATCTCACCTTACAGCTTCAGTGCAACACGCGCGCCGACAAAAGCCCCAAGAACGAGTGCCGCGCCAAGTAAAACTTTCCGCACATGCCTCGGCTCCTGCAAAGAAGAGGACACAGCTTGAGAATACATCGCACCTCCAAATGATTGGTTCTGTGAACTGACGATATGTAACAGAATCCAAGCGCAAACCCTTCGTTCTGAAACACTCACAGAAGTGGATTGGCATGCAGATTCACCCTACCATGCTCCTCATCCAATCATGCGGACGGCAGACTTCGAAAGTGAATGACCTGAGGCACTCAAGAAGCTGGAATGCTTCTAAAGACATTTTGATCTGAACAAAGACGCCAGTACTCGATACACAATGCTTCCAGCTCTAGAAAGACTCAGCCACAAGCCTAGGCCTGGTTTCCTCCCTAACCTCTGGTGGCTGGTGCTCGAGTGCCTTGTCCTCTTTGCGCAGTATGGTGGACGGCTCAGCTTCAGAAGCGTTTCCTGAAGTGAGGTGTGTAGGTTGTTGACCTAAGGTGTCGTCTGTAATATTGTCACCGTCAGCCACTCGCAAGCGACTCTCCTGTGCAACCTCGATTCCGCTCCGATCTTTGGTTTCCTCGAAAGATAACCTTCGATGGGGCGTTTGCTCTAGCGCTGTGGAGGACAGGGTCTGGTTTAATTCTGTGCTAATCCGCTCCCCGCTCGACCGCCCCGCTTGACGCTCTGCATCTGTCTCCGCTGGTTTTCCGCAACCCAACGCCCCCACACTCGCCGCTGCTTTCCCCTCATCTTGATAACGGCTCCCTTCGATGGCTCCAAACGGAGTGCCGGGATCGAGCGGTGAGAGGGGTGACACTTGACCAATGGTTGAGGGAGTCTGCTGGCACGGCGCTTCAGCTAAGCCTTTCGGAGAACTGGGCCCCGAGCCAAATTGGAGTTCGTGCGAAAAGGTGGACTGAGTAGAGGTGGTGTTGATAGAAGAGGTTGAGTGGGGATCGGTGGCCTCCGACACTGAAGAGCTGCTCCCTTCAACCCCGAGCGTAGTAGGACTGAAGCCCGTCTCATATTTGCCGCCCTGAAAAGGATTTTTAGTCTTCATAGCATTCTTTGCAGGGAAGTGGTCTTCAAACGAAAGGCGGAGCAGACTGCCGTTCAAGGGTCATTAAGAACGCTGCTCCTGTCCTGCTCTGAATCATGAGCACAAAGTGCAGCACAGCTGCTCAGAATAGAAGTGAGGTAAACAGCAACATAGTCTCTTTTTAATAATCTCTTTTTGACGGAAAACACTAAGGTCAGGGAGGACCACAGTAAGTCCAGGCACTACTACTCCGCTAAAGGAGCAGCAACAGGATTCTTCTTGGAAGGTCGGTGAAGCCAACGGCACGTCCAGTCAAAGGCTGCTTTGCAGCACAAACTGACATATAATCCTCACCTCGGAACTGCCAAGAGATGGGGGAAAAGCCTTCAGTCTCTTCGAAGAAGAGGAATGCAGAAAAGCCTGCAAGTATAGCGAGATAGATCATGGAAAGGTAGAAAATCCACGAGTGTTTACAAACGTCTTTGTTGGACTGTCTGCTTGACACCTTAAGGTTTTCCAATAGCCTCAAACCCTTCTGCTGCAAAGCATGGATAGAGCTGGAGAGGAAAGCTCTGTAAAGTCCTACATAATGAAACAAGGATGACAAAGCTTCATTTACGGGCCTTGCTCTGCACCCGGCAAGATCGATTCTGCTTGTTGAAGTCAATTGATTGCATTCCGTCAGTCTGGAAATCCCACCTTTGCTCGCAGGGGGGTGAATGCCTTCACAATCTCGTCTAGACTGGGGCGCTCTGTCGGTTCCCGCTGAAGGCAGCGCTCGATGAGCTGGAGCACAGTGTCACGATCCCCCTCCTCTGTCTCCGTGTATATGTCCTGAGGCACCTCAGGAAGCTCCCCCCTCCGGCCCACCCTGTACTTAACCTGGCGCTGTTGGAAGCCGTGGAAAGGAGGCCAGCCTGTAGCCATTTCAATGAGGATGCACCCAAACCCGTAGATGTCGGAGCGAAGATCCTTCACGCCCTGCAAAACATGCCATGCAGGTAAGCCGCAAGACAGCACTTTCCCCATCAAGCATAGTTAGACATTCAATCACCTTGAGCAGGCAGTTCCAAACTCCAACCGCTGCCGGCAACTTCACAATCAAGGATGCAAGGATTGCCGATATGCACACAGGCAATAAGCAATACCTGCTTATCATGAGCACCATACCTCAAAAGGTAAAAGTCTTTCAACAACAAAGCTAAAGACGTCATTATAAGCTTCCTTTGAGAGCGAGCCGAGCTGAGCCATTCCTTGATTACCTTCCATGCCTCAGGAGCCATGTAGAAATGCGTCCCCGCCACAGAGACTCTGCTTGTGTCCTGCGCTTGTAAGCGACTTGAAAGCCCTAGGTCTATGATGAAGGGTTCGCTGGCGCCCAGCTTGAACATGATGTTCTGCAGACAGGAATTGTCCTCCAGCTCCGCTTGATGCAAGATCAGGCAAAGGGTTCAACAAAGTCGTTTCGAAGCAGAAAGACCACGAATGCTCCAACTTTCATTGCATAAGAGCTTCAGAGAAGCCTTGCCGGAGCACACTCGTATAGTCAGCTGCTTCCAACCCCGTGCATGAGAGGGCCACAAGGATTCACTCCCTATTATTAATTACCTGTTGAAAGATGGGCACAGACATATCAATCTCAAATGTGGACGTAGTGAGCCTTCTGTTTACCTCAGGCTTGATGTCTCTCATGAGGATCTTTTCATGATGCAGGCCGTTGAGAGCGTCTGCTACTGCCAACCCAACAGAGCAGAAGTCCAACCAGGGCAAGGGTTGGCCGCCAATCTTGTCCTTCAAAGTTCCTCCATCGTAGTAGTCCATGACGATCCCCACATCCTTTTTATCACTGGAACAAGCACAAGCTTCGCCTTTTGTAGCGTCTGTCACTACCACCAACGAGATTGATCTTTTTGATCTTTTTCCAAGCACACAGCAGCCCCAGCATCTCCAGTGCACAACCTTCTGTTGCAGGGATACAGAAAGAATGCGGAAGCAGCCGGAGAAGCTCAGAAACATAGCATGCTACAAGCAGAAACAACACCCACCGGTAGATGCCATGGAGCATGCAGATTCGATGGCACTGGCTTCTTGCATGCTTCAGATTGAGAACTTCTGACAGGAAGGCTTTGACTTCTTGGCCTGTTCTGTTCAAACCATCCTTGAACAGCTTGAGCCCCACGGTGGTGCCACTGGGCAACCCCACTCCTTTCCTGGAGGAATCAAAGAAATAATAGGTGCTTTCAAGTGTCCACAGGATCTTGTCAAAACCAAACAGCATAAGGCTCTTCAGAAGGGTTGATCACATGAAGATTGACACATTGCCCATTAGCAGCGGACTGATGCCATGGATACTGATTATATCTGAACAGCTCCACAATGGAGGTCAAGTTTCTTACAAACATGCTGACAATATGCCAATTCGGCTTGACTTACTTGACCAGTGTTACTGCTTTGTAGACCACCGTCTCAAAGCCTGGCCTCACGGAAACCTCCTCCTCCAATCTCAGGTCAATCTCACCAAATAATGGCAGATCTTCGGTGACCTTATTGAACTCTTCAAGCCACAGTGGTTGGTCCATGTGACTTGAAGCAGCTCTCTGCCCCGACTTTGCACAAACAATCAGAACTTTTGGAAGACCGAAGAGTAGAAGGCCTGCATAATTGCAATCAGATACTTCTGCAGGTGCAATGGGCAGCCTTGCTCTTGAGAGTAGTACTCAACTCAGACACCTCTTTCGTCGATGAGCGAAGATGATGATGATGATGCCTCCGAAGTCAACTTCAAGATCAATCAATCAATCAATCAATCAATCCTTTAAAGTCCCGTAGGAGCCATGGGTGGCTCATGAGACAAAATCTGAATACGGTATGTTCTCAATCCTAAATGCGTCTCGAATAAGCAACCCTAGCAACCTTTCGCTGATTACTTTGCCCTATGAAGATGCGTAGACTGCGCGGAGGATGCTCTCCGATGTATGCATGCATGCATGTTTGGGCTGCTGACAATGACCTAGGGGTCATCCAGTGTTCCACTTTGCCTTTGGGTGAAGTCGCATGCAAGAAAAGGCTCGAAGTTGGAACTGGAGGTCGGAGCCCTACCTGCTAGATGCAATATTATTCTGGTAACTCTAGCGAGGATTTAGGGCAGCGTGGGATAAAATAAGACGCCCGGGAGACGGGTAGGGTTGGCCCGGTGGTTAGGGGGGTACGGGGTGCCGAGCAAGTGTTTATTCTAGGTTAGGGTTATGATCCTTGTCACCCGGGCGATTCATATCCTGTTCCACGCTGCCCTTATTCCATGCTAGAGTATAAATACTGAACACTGTCGTGATTTCCCTTCTCAACACGGTTCTACGGTATACCAACACAAAAAGATTCAAGGCGACGGAGATTAGAATGCATTCTATCGACGCCATGGCGTCGATTCTGGGAGTCGTCACGGGTGTCATTGGGATTGTCGACTTTGCCATCAAGCAGGTGACAAAGATCTCCGAGCTGGTCAAGGAGCCCAAGAAAACAATTCGCAAATGCAAGGAGTTCGCGGATGAGCTGGTCCTTACAGAACCTCTGCTGCAATACATCAAGGAGTATTTCAGAGGAGTCCCGGCCGATAGCGCAACCATGGGCATCCTGGTGATTCTTTCTCAAGCGATCTGGGATGCCAGAGTCACAATCGAGGAGGTCCATCATCTTTCGACCTGGAAAAGATATCGCCGGGCAAAGGCCATTGGGGCGAACCTTGAGCGCTGCATAATCCGTGAGAATCCCTATCACATGGATCCTTCCATCCAAGAAACACTGCACAGATTGCAGCCTGGTCTGTTTTTTGAAGTTCACCATAATCTGCTGATCAGGCAAGGCTGTTAACGTCTGGATCCGAAGTCTGCCCAGATGAGAGCACCAAGAAGCGCTGGATGGAGCTTATTCTTGTATACAGGATTACACCTTCAGTCACAGAGCTGTAATCTGGTCTGAGCCCTCTCTAATTCCGCTGTCGCCTGCTTCCAGCACATCATGAAGGTGCTTGAAGCTGCATTGATCTGCCCCCCGTGGTGATTTTATGTGCAGAGTATCGCGCCGCTCTGGATCGCCTGGTGCTCCTGCAGACCTTCAGGACGATGATCTCTGTTGATGCGCTGCGTCAGCTCAACGGCAGCAAGGAGAAGTTGAAAGCTCTCGAGAAGGAAGTGAAGAGCATTCATTCTGAGCTGGCGGAAGTCAGCAGCTCTTTCTCAGCAATGCCTGATGTGTTGGCTGATTCAGCACCTCGGTCAGGTCAGATTAAGGAGAGGCTACAACAAACCCAAACTGTTGCGGAGCTGCAAGCCAAAGTCAAGGAAATACAGCAGAACCCCAGACTTGTGAAGGCGCTACGAGTGCTGGGCTTGACTGACGAGAATTCATCTGCCGAGTTGGAAAAGCTCCAGCAGTTGCTGCGGGACGAGAAGCTCCGTGAGTTTGATGATGAGTATTTGGAGCCTGTAGAGGATGCAAACAAGCTGGTGTTCAGGAGCAAAGACACGGAATTTCAACGGTTCAGATTGAAGAAAAGGTAAGGTGCTTACTTGCACTCCTTCCACACAGTCGGTTTCAAGCCATCGCTCTTTGGGATGGTGGAGGTGCCAGCCAAAGTCTTCCCACACCATCTGTTGTCTTGGTATTGGCATCTTTAAATGCCACTGAAACCAGAGGTAGTGAAGGTCAACCCTTGACAACCTTCAAATCCATGCTGGTTGGAGAAAGGATAGGCAAGTCAAGCAACAGTGAGCTAAATGCAAGCCATCTGCAAGCCAAGCCAAGTGCAAGCTATTGGGCCCCTTTCTGCTGTCCATAGCCCACAGCTTTGGCCTGACTTGTAGCGTTTCTCAACCTCAATGATGTGAAGATGTGCTACATGTCTGCTGACAGACTGCATGCTTCTCTCTAGAGGTTGTGATGCGAATCCCTTGGCTTACCTGGCCATGTTGTTGCTTGATGGAAACTAATCGACACCGGATTGTGTGTGCAGTGTGGATCTCTTGACCGAGGGCACTCTGGTCATGGTGAAGTTCTTCCTGGGGGCTGCTACAAATGCAAGGGGCGACGAACTGCGGAACTTTCGGATCCAAGTGCAATATCTACAATGGGTCGCATCTCAAGGCAACACCTGCAAAATTCTTGGTTTTTACAGGTGGGTGCCTTCTTGAAAGCAATATTCCCAGTTCAGGAGTTCACAAGTGTGGGGCAACCTTTATTTCTGCCCAAGCTATCTTCGGATGAGGTCTTCAACATGTGTTTGCTTGCTGACAATACAGTAATGCACACTACCCTTGATGAGGTTTCCGTACTTGTAGATTCATCCGGTACCTGAAAACAGTTCTCACCATTTCAAGACAGGCCGTTGCACTTATTCTTTTGGGGCCTATTGCATGTGCCTGTTATAGAAAGGATGAACGCTAGACTGGACTTGATCTCTGGCACTGAATTGGCTGTTGACAGGAGGAGGCACGACTTCGGCATTGTGATGAAGAACTACGAGGGCTTTACCCTGGAGAGTCGCATCCGCGAGGGAAAGCTCCAGAGATCCGAGTACCTACATGTGGCCTACCTCTTGGCTCAGACAGTGGACGTGCTGCACAATGCAGGCTTGATCATCGGCGACCTTTCTCCGCGGGTGAGACTCGGTCTCTAAGCCAAAGACTGTCCTTTTAGACCATTTTGCATGCATCCCCTGGTTGATGCTTTTCCCAAGCCAAAGACTTCAAGGTCTTGCAAGCGTTGACCCTGACAATCTGCATTTTTGGGCGTTTAGTGCAGCTTCAAATCAGTCTCAAGCAAGTATTGAGTTGCTGGGCTGAGGCGATGGCCCTCCCCTTTGCAGGGCATCTTTCTGGAATTCAACATGCGGCCTGTGATTGCCGACTTTGGCCTGTCCAGAGTAGCCGCCATGTCGTTCATCAGCTTCAGTGTTGCGACTGCTGAGGAGAAGGACGTGGAGCCCTACCTAGCACCTGAAGTATGGATGGTGAGTGGGCTTGAAGAAAGGCATTATTTTTTTCTTGGACGTGTATGCGGGATGCCACCTTCTATTGCTCGCAAGACCTTGCAGAAAATCTCCCTGCCATGATGGTCGCCTTCTTGAGGAGGATTGTCAATCTCGAATTCAAGGATCTGGATAATTTGCTTTGTTTCTGGTGCTTGACAAGTTCTCTTTCTCCTTTGTATCATGTTCTCTTTCAGCGCCCTGATCCGTGTCGTGAGTGCTTTTGCTTGTTCAAGTCCCTATGATGATTGATATTCAAGGAGGCAATGACTCTAATCATGCTGATCCCAGGACCATCCAACACCGGCAAGCGACGTGTGGAGCCTAGCTTGCATTCTGGTGGAGATGATCACCGGCGTGCGGCCCCACAACCTGGTCCCCGATCTTGAGGAGTGGGTTGGCGAGGCGAAGCACTCTCCAAAGCTGCCCGCCCCTTCCGAGATAGGGCCACCTACTGGGATTGGGCCTGCTCTTCATGAGACACTGCAGGCTTGCTTCAAGCCTGATGCTGAGCAGCGTTTACGGCTCGGTGGCTCTGATGGGTTGTTGCGACGTCTTGAGATCTACCATGCAGCGGTGAGTAGTTGACGCTCAATTCAACCCCTACAAGACTGGTTGACTGGAAGGTTTCTTTGGTGCATTACTGGGAAAAGCATGAGCCAATGCTGCCTTGAGTGTTTGCGCTATGTAGCAATCTGAGTTACGTAGTGTTCCAAGCGAAGCCTGATCCAAAAATCAGCATGCTGCGTACCAACACTCCAACTATCATTGATGTTCAAAGTTATTGTGCTTGACAGGAGGTGAGCGGAAGGCCTGAGCAGGTGAGTATTGTTGCGGACACGTAGACTTGACGTTCTGTGTGTATAAAGGACAAATCAGGTTGTAGTCTGTGTTTGTCGAGTATCAAATTCTTTTGCCCTTGGAGCTTCATATTGCCTTGATGATTCATGGATAGGTGCATAAAGAGGTCTACACATGAATCAGCCTGTTCTTGGCAAGTAGCAGTTTCTCACAGGTGTTGAAGGTGTCTTGTTGCGCTAAGGCTTCAAGGTTTGGTTTGGGACAAGAGGTTGCCTTTCCCTCCGCCCGGGGCTTGCATTGAAAGGTGGCTCGCTTGCTTCACTCTTGCAGCTGTGAACCTGAAGAAGAGCTTGACACAGTTGTCTAACCATATTCAATCACGTCTGAGCATTTGCAATAAGGTGTACGCCAGGAAATTTTTTATTCTTTTTTTTTCTTTTTTCCGTCGAGTCTTTTTAATGTGGAGATCATGCTTTTTTGGAACTCCCAGGCCTATGGAAACTTCAGGCTAGGCATCTAAGAAGTGATTTATATGTTATCTCAAGGAATGTTGGTTTGAAGTTGTTCAAAAAGTCTCTAAGATATTGTAGTGGCTCAACTGACCGCTCAAGTCTAGCTGTTTGCTCTAATCTGTTCATATACGTGTGCATGTTTGAGATATTAGACAGATTTTCACATGGCAAGCAGCCATAGCAGGCTACAATGTCGACCTTTTAACATGACGGCAGCTATAGCAAGCTGCATCATGTATCAACCATTGTCACACCCCCGAGCAGGGCTCTTCGGTGCGCTGTCCGAAATATACTTGTGTGTAGATCTCGTCGCTTTGACACGATGACCAGCGCCGAGTTGGTGATTGCACTCCTCATCCTCTCCGACGTAACTTTAGCACTTGCATGTGATAAGGAACCGGAGTGGAGTGAAAATTGGTTGACGTTGTCATGATAGGGTTCGCCGCTAGCTCCTTGATACTCAATAGTACACGGTACTCGCATGCATGTACGAACCGTTGGACTCAGGGCTTCAAGCCATAAGCATTGATCTTCAAATGAATCGTCATGTCGATTGCTTGCCGCAAATTAAAGCTTCATTTGACGAGCGCGCATCTGATACCACTCCCAAGGGCTTGCCAACCATAGCCACGTCATGCATTAGTCTAGCGGCGACAGATTGATGATCAGCTTGCACTTTACACGCATACTGTTCAACAACCAGCAGCAGCCAAGCAACTCGATCTGATATGATCAATAGCCCTTTAAAGCTGGGCCGGGCCATGCTCCTACACCTTCGAAGGCTGCCCATAAGATACCCCAGTCTCGAGCAGCTTGGATAGCACGGGGGACAGCTGCCTGAGGTCCGCAAACTGCCCGTCCGAGAGTGTCACCGGCTCAAAGAGACGCCGCGCCAGCAAGAGCCACAGGATCACGCTCTGGAGGTCCCGCGGGATGAGGATGTTGTCCGACTCCGAGCACCCTAGGTGGTAGAAGAAGCCCCTTCAAGGGCCCTCCGGACACCACCGCCTCCTCTCCTTGGCGTCCGCCCCACGTCCGACGACGTGTTGAACCAGTTGCTTGACGCAAAACGGCAGCAGCCCCATCGTCGTCTGCCAGAGAAGGCCGTCAGAGGAGAGTCAAGCAGGGGGGCTCATCTTGCGATCTACGCTCGTAATTCCCGGACCGCAACCCGAGCGCTACTTTCCCATGCTAAGGGGCAACCATCTTCAACACCTCGAGCCTCTTCTTGATCTCCAATAGCTGCCTGTCACGAAACACATTAAGGATCGGTTCCATTATCGGCTCATCGTTGCTGATGGGAACCACCCGGGTTCGCTCGCCACCTCAACAGACAGACGCGTCTTGTGGAACTTGGAAGATATTGAACTGAGTGGTTTCGCCAAAGGACTCTTTACAAGACTAAGACAGTACCAGTGGCCTTCCCTGCGTCTAATCATCATAAAATTTTTCATAAACAGTAGACACAAAGGAGAGAACATGAATCTAAACAGTGAGCGACAATTAAAGTTGACTCTTTGCACATTGGTGATACAACATATGCACCAGAAAGCAACAGCATGTAACATTGATGACATCACGATCAAGTGTTCCAAGTTAATGGATTGGCATGCATCATTATCACCAGCTCTCGCAAAAAGTATTGTAGCAGATGAAAGCACATTGAGGGCTTGTCTTGAGTACAACAATTTTTTCAAAGAAATTTGTGCGTAAGGTTTTTATCAAGGTCTAGCGAGTAGACCATATTTTTTGGACAATCACGACATCTTCGGCCTTAACACTATGGTAATTGAAGACGTCTGTGACTTGGCTGTCACTTGGGATCTGGCACTCGAGAACCAACTTCCATTTAGTGCCTTCGGCATCTATATACCAAGAAGCGTGTGATTTTGCCACTTCAAAGCGAGTGCTAAACCAATATAGTTGTCGATCCTGTAAGAAGGCCGGGTCATCCTCATTGTGGAAGAAAGTCATTGCTTCAGCTTCGTCTGCAGCTTCTTTTGTTGTCTCGATTTTTGGTGCATGATAGACTTGAATAGACACCGCACGTGCCTCAGCTAAGCTCACGTGTTGGGTGTCTTGCAATCTCTGCATGCAGATGAAAGTAGATAAGAACGTGGACAGAACCATTCTGGTGTGCGCAGGACAGTCCACTATGGAAATCCGTCAAGATGCAGACATGGGCACACGAGATTAGGGTTCCCTGGACTTTACCTGCTTATAACTTGTTGCACCCTTCTCCATCTCGTCTGCTCTGTTGCGCTGCTGGTATTGCGCTCCTCTCTTGGCATACCCTAAGCTGGCCTGCGATTGAGCATCCTGCAAGTTAGAACACTCAATTCAGGCGACGAAGAAGCGCATATATGCGCGCAAGTTGAAGGAATCTTGTTAGAAGAACAGCAGAAAACGAAGGACAGGACCAGGGAGGGCTCACCGAACAGCCAGCCTGGTCACGTGCCGCTGCAACTTCCTGGCTCCTTCTCTCCTTGTGCTCCGACCATGCAGGGCTCTCTGTTTGCCCCCCTTAGCCGGGGTAATACCCGCTGGCAGCTTTGAGCGTGAGTTGTCCAGTTGAGTAATCAGTAATCAAAATCGTGACAGGACGTGAGTCAAGTAGGTACAGGCAACAATTACCGCTTTACAGCTTACCATTAACGCTTTGCCACGTAGCATTTGTGGAACGAGTAAATTTGGATTCACACAAGTGCGCGCATGCGCGGGCCACATTGTGTCGAACGTTGCAAAATCCAGTGGCACGTGTCTATGAGGGTAGCGCGCGCGCACGCTTGCGGATAGCCGGAGGCAATGACCCCAAGGCTTAAAGGTTCTCTTGTCTTTAAGTACAGTTCCTAGACCCCTCGGTGAACTACCGGGCACTTTTAGGGGAGCCAATAGAATTGCAGCATTCTTCTAGATGGGAGGCTGTGGGTGTATTTTGCTTAGAGTCAGCTTCCTTGTCTTTAAGTCCCAAGGCATTTCCAGACCACTTAAGGCTCTAGTCTTTAAATACTGTTCCTAGACCCTACCGGGGTAAATTCATCATCCAATAGGAGGAGAGTATTTCTCTAGATGAGAGGCTGAGGGTGTGATTTCATATTGGCTGGAATGCCTTTTTGGAAGAGCCTTATTGACAAACATGGCGAGCCTGACACTTTGAAAGCGACGACTCCTAGTGGCGGTTTTCACTACTACTTTTCGTTTTCGGGCACCCTCAAAGATGGACTGAGGTCGGGAAAGAACTTCGTTGGTGTGGACGTCGATGGTCAAGTCTAAGGGATTGATGGCCGCGGCGAAGGAGGAATCGCATTCGCTCCACGAAGTTCGCTTGGTGAGGGTATAAAATACGAATGGAATGTCTCGCCGGAGAGGATCAATATTTCGACCGCTCCGACATGGGTGATCGAATTGATAAACGAGTGTGCCAGACGAGCTGGTCGTAACGGACAGATAAACACTCAAGGTGCATTTCAAGCAATGCAAAGCTCAGAACTCGAAAAGCATGACGAGTTGCTTCTGCATTCTTCCTTTGCAGACGAAGCAGATTTGAACAAAGATTCAATAAACACCCGAGACGCACGGGCATATGAGAAAACAATAGCAGATGCAATGATGAAGTTGCTGAGGGATGCTGGGTTGGACGAGAATGTTCAGTTCTCCGGAAAGGTCTCTTCTCGTGGCCCGTTTGGTTCACTATATTCCTTCGTCTGCAAAGGCCCTCGAATGTGCATTCATGGCCATTGCCACAACGGATCCAACAACTTAACATTGATAAAAAGAGGCTGGGTCGTGCTCTATCGATGCTTTGGATCTGAGTGTTCGGAGAAGCCGCTTGTAGAAGTTGGAACTCTCAACCTCGCAGACTCATTGCTAGATGCGAATCCTACAAAGTTGCATCCGACATTTGACCACTCGGTGTTTCCTAACAATTGCAAGGTGTTATCCGAGATAGAACGCCAATATTATGTGGATCTCATCAAACGCAACGTGATGCAACGCTATCGAGGGATGGCTGCCATTTTCAGTGTGATCTATGCCGTTGATGGACGCATACTTGCCGAAGGCAAAAACTTCCGGTATTGGAACTCACGACGCTGGCTGTCAGATGGTTCCTATCATGTGCAATCAGTTTTCTCGAGCCACATTTCGAGAATATTGAAATGGTATGAGAATCTCCGATTGACGGCATTCAAGCACGAAGTCTGGAAGCTTACGAAGGAATCTGGAAAATGGGGTTGCATAGCAGAAGCTTCGGAATACGCACTTCCAGAATGGGCAACCCGACCACAGAGCGAAGAAGAGAAGAAAGCATGCCGGCGAGCGTGGGAGCTCGTCTCAACCACATTACCTTTCCCTTCGAAAGGTGACTCTACATGTCAGCTCATAGATCTGACACGTGGCTCTGAAGTGCGTATCTGTCTTGAACACGTTCTCAATTCGTTACAGATCCGGGAGGAACTGGATGCTCTGATGGACCAAGTCAACCCGTACCTATTTGCATGTGCAAACGGTACGCTGGAAACTACGACTGGACAATTGCTTGCACCACATCCTGCACAGCTGTGCTCGCGAGCTTCAAAGGTAGCCTTTCGTGGAATGCCTCAAGGCGAATCCCGCTTCGCTTCTTTTCTGTTGGATTGCTTCAACAACGACTGACAGGTTCTTGATTGGTATAAGATGTATCTCGAATACTGCATGACGGCCGACACCAGCGAACAGATCTTTCTAGTAAAGCAAGGTGAGGGGAGCAACGGAAAAACACTCACGAAGATAGCATCCTTTGAGATCTTTGGTTCGTATGCTGTTGTGATGAGCAAGGATGTCATCATCGAAGCAGGTGGCAAGCGGTCCGCTGGTTCAGCTTCGTCCCACCTCATTGCGTTAAAGGGAGCAAGGCTGGCCGAATCGGATGAGTCAAACGAAAAGTCCGTTCTGAACGAAGCAACAGTCAAAGAGTACTCCGGAGGCGGCTCCGTTACAGCAAGAGAACTTCAAGGTAAGCAAGAGACCTTCATGGTGACGCATAAAGCAATTTTGAACACCAATTACAAGCCCGTTATGGAGAACGTATCTTTTAGTCTCATACGGCGTATGGCGCTTCTTCCAATGACTGTGGCTTTCAAGTCGGCTGAAAAAGTCAATCCGAGAAAATCCAGAGAGAAGCCCAAAGATCCTACCTTGGAAGCTTACTTGAAGTCTGATGAAGGTCGAGAGGATGGACTTTCGTGGATCGCAGCGGGGGCAAAGCGCTACTTCGACTTGAAACGGGCGAATCCTGGCGTTCTGGTCCTTGAAAAGCGCCCGAAGGCTATGGAAGACGCCCTGAAAGCGTATGTCAACGACAGCGATATTGGCAAACGATTCATCGAAGAATGCTGCGAGTTCGAAGAGTTGCAACAAGGAGCACGTGCGAAGTGGCACTTGGCACTAGGCGAAAGGCTGGGTGACGCGTTCCGGACTTGGATCAGAGAAGAAGAGTTATCGAGTTCACTCACCGCTCAAGCACTGAAGAAACGAGTCGTACTATATGCTGATGGCACCAATCATACAGTTGAAGATGGCCGTTTTACAGACAAGACAGTGCAAGACAAAGGCCAATTCAAAGGCCTTAGCGGGGTGCGTCTAAAGGCTGCCCTTTGCAATCAAGGCAGTGGATGTGGGTGGGGAGCTTGATGCAGACAAGTATCGGTGGTGTTCGAGATTCGCATCCATGCTCCTCTTTTTGCTGTGTCTGTCATCGCAGACCATAAGTCTAAAAGACCTAAAATTTAAGTCTTTTGTTTTTATATATTATTTGCTTTTTATTATATGAAATAAGAAAGACTTAGAATCTGGGTCTTTTGGGCTGTTGGTCTGTGGCTTGATGACGTCAGCAATTTGCCCACAGAGATACTTTGATCTAGAACTTTGACAGTTTGGACAATTGCATGTAACACTCCGATTCTCGATCATTTGTGCGTCTAATAGCTTCATCATGGTACTTGCCCGGACGTTTTTACCTTGCTCAAATCGATGGAGAGCCTTTCTCAAACACACGGCATCTTTGTTCAAATTGTAATATCGTTTCGACCACTTACAAAAAAGCTCTGGATGATCAGTTCGATACTCATGCTCGTACTGGCGCCTGCGTTCAATGGCAGATTCAGATGGCACTCTGCAGAGAGCCATTATATTACAAATTGGCACTACATAAGTTTTTTTGCAATCTGGACGAACAAAAACATACCACCTGTACCACCTCGAACCCCCAGATTCTATCGTTCCGTTTTTCAGGTGACTGCGTTTTTGTATTACGAATTGGCACTACATAAAGTATATATGTACCATCGAACCACCTGTACCACCTCGAACGATGAAGTTCTACCGTTTCCTTTTTTAGGGTTTGGTTTTTGAGAGCACTTGGAATTCGATGGTACGGTGGTACGGTGGTACGTAAAAACTTTATGCAGTGAGCTTTGCTAATATATATATATATATTAGATGGTACATGGTGGTACAAAGAAAGGGTTCTTCCCTTCCACGTAAAACATCACACAAAAACATGATTATACCCCGAAAGCATCAGAAAAAGCAAAGAGCGCGTTGGGATCGATTTTTTTAACTCATTTGACGGCTGTATTTTACCTAAACTTGCTAAGCTCAGTCGATAACTTACACATTGATTACAAGGAAACGGACCGCCTCCGTCCACAAATTCGCTCTACCGGCTATCAGGATCTTTGCGTTGTCGACCCGTGTGAGTTCCGAGTTTCGTCCGCTGATAAGATTAGCTAATATTACCATGAAGGCTTCTAGTCCGGAGTACCAGCCGAGCGTGGGCCTAAACTAACCAGGAAAGAATTGCAGCTTTCGACCGCAGAAGTATTGACCCAGCGCACCGCGTCGTAGTAATCTGATACAGAAGACGGAAATAGATTAGCCTGGTAAATGCTCATAGCGATTGCGGTTGGCATGCAGAGTCAGCGATAATAAGCGTTTGCGGGACAATGCAAAGTTGGTGTGCACGCTTGGGTGTCAGTCAAACGTGTTGCTGTGGTGTTGGAAGGCTGAGGCTTACCGGGGTTGAACGAGGGTCCACACTTGTGGGCCTCAGCTCCCATGCGCTGGAAGTGAAACCTGCAGATAACACGTTGACGGTTAGATTTCGACCAAGCGCCTTTATTACCCAACGCCCTTTTCTCGGAGCCAAGTATGCATCTTCCAAAACCAGGTTGGAGGGCCAGTGGGGGGCACCCTATGCAGCATGTCAAGGGACGGCGGGTATGTCAAAAGCACATGAGATCCAGTGCGGCTCAATGGCAAAAGTTGCAGGGCCGAGTCGAAGCTCTGAAGTCATCAAATCCAAAGAGGTTGAAAGAACGTACCTGTCGACCAGGAACCGGACGTCGGCGAAGAAAGCCGGTTCTCGCCTCATGCAATACGATTGAAGCTTGCACGCGTTGTCATAGAACATGTACCGGGGGAGGTTCCGTCGATCCAGTCGAGTGTAGAGCACGGTGAACGGATCGCGAGGTGACTCGCCACGGAGCATCGCGTGAAAACCGTAGATCACACGGTGCGGGCAACAAAAGACGAACCCGCCCTTGGTATGATTTTGCAGTCGCTTCGCGGACTTCGATCCCCCCTTGGAGGCCACCTCCGCGTCAAACCTGCCCACCGTGAGCCCGCTCTTGCACCGGTGCTCTTCGCTGCCCTCGATCGAGCGGCCTAGCTCGTCCTCGAAGGGCTTATATTGGGGAAGGGGGCGCTTCTGTTCCCACCCTGGCAGAGGGTAGCAACCGAGCACGCGCTGCTCCTTGCAGAAGGAGTGCTCTAGGGGAAGGGCTCCGCATGGTTCACCGTCCGGATTCAAGCCCAGCCGCTCGTTCAAGAGCTCCGTCTCAGGTACGTTGAGCGGGTACAACGCCGTAGAGGGCGCTGTCAAGCTCTCGACACCGGGGAGCAGGGCATTTGCTCGCGTCTCCCAGAACTCGACGGCCTGCAGACAATCTGCGGTTCGGGTCCACGGGCGCTCCACGAAGTTGCGTGCTGCCCAGACGCAGTAGTCGAGACCCTCGATAGCGGACAACGGCCAGCCAGCTCGTCCCACCCCGAGCCCGACAGCACCTCGGCCAAAGAGGGTCAGCCGATAGAGATGGTGCAACGCTGGGGTGAAATACCAGGGGAAAACGAATCCGAAGTGGTCTAGCAACCGCCCCAGAATGGGGCGTGCTCAGCGAGGATCGCCTTATCATCTAGGTTGGCAACTCCCCCTAGGAGTAGCTTCCTGACCACGGCCAGAGCCTGCTTATGCTGAATCAGATTGCTGTCATCGGAGACCGACTGTGGCGTGCCGAACCCGTAGAGTAGCTCCGCCCATTTTGCGGGGCATCGCGGTGGTCGTAAAGGGGAAGCTCGCAGGGCCTCCGTCTTGATCCCCTCTAGGAGCGCCATCATTGCACGGTTCTTCGAACGGATCTGCCCAAACTGGTCAAGGAGAAGGCGCCGCCGCTCGAAGAAAAGCACTGGGTCAGCCTCTTCGTCGACGGGGTTCGGCACGAATTCTGAGGCCACCTGCACGTCCTCGCGGTCGAGTGCGGCCTGCAACTTGGAGATGAGGCGGCTAGAGACAGGAGCGTTGTCCATGAAGGTAGTTGGCCTACTACCTAATTGTACATTCAAGGCGAGCAATTGTACGGTTCCCAAGAGACAGCCTAGATCGGACGGTTGTGAATCCGGGAACAAATCGTTTTCCAGATATCAAAAATGCTTAAGTATTGGAATCAATTTTTGTTCCCGATTCGGAGGGGTCTACGAAATCCAGTCACGCCGTGCACGCGATCCTACCAGCCTCGTTGGACTAGCTTCAAGTCAGCTCACCAGCAATTCGTCGAACTCCACGTTGCTCAGCTTGGCTCCTAGATCAGGGTCGTCAGGATGATGCTGGCTGAAGCGCGCGATCAATGCACGCAGCTCCGGTTGGTGCACCAAGCGCCGCTTTAAACCTCCTCCACCCAGGGCGGCAGCACAGAAGTTCACCCCCGGCTCCATGAGCTTCACGACATTCACCCCCTCGGCGTCTTGACTCGGTGCCGTAAACGGTCGCAATTGCGCCGCGCTGGACCCAGCGAGCCCCCCCTTTTGTCGCCCGCCGTCGGCACAAGCCAGCCCGGCGATGCCGTCGCAGAGAAGTACCTCCGGGTGGGGCCCGCAGATGCTACAACATTCGAGAATGGAGCGTCCACATAGCTTGAAGAAGCCGAGACTCGCCCTCCGCCAGGTCCGTTGGACACAGGCTTGGCGCTAGGTGAGTAGAACTGGCGGACGGCGTTCTTGGCCTCGATAAGGGCGTTACAAGCAGAACCGGTGCCTTGCACGCATCGCAGCAAGAGTTGGCAAGCCGCTTGTGTGACGATGATGCTTCTAGTCCAGGCGTACAAACCCAATGCCTCTCCGTTGAAGTGCACCGTGTGCTTCTCCGGACAAGTGCAGCAGTAGATGCGAACTTTCACCTGCACGCAAAAGTTCACATATTGACTAAGCAAGATCTACCTCAAGCGTGGGCCATCGGACAAGAAGCAAAACAAGAGCACAGAGAGGTTAATACTGTGATGGACACGGGGTCCGACTTCTAACAAACAGCAGATCTACTAGAAGATGAGACCCTGAAGCCATAGAAACGTTTTGGACTCTGAAATATCGAAGATCTGCATAACCAAGACAAGCTGGCACCCACCTCTTGCGACCAGTCCAGCGAGTAGATGTGAGACGTCTGCATCAAGCTCAACCAGCCCGTTCCACAGGGGGGCGGCACTTTGGGGCAAGGAGCGCACAATCCCGCCATTCTGCTCAGTTCCTCAAAATCCCGCGCCACCAGCTGGCTCACTCTCACCGGCTGCTTCAGCAGAGTGACCGGGGGGTCATGAACGGCCAACCCGTCTGTAGGGCGCACTAGCTTTGGAGTCTCGACCTGGATGCCCTCGGCGCCCATGGGCATGACAACAGCAACACGTGCGGGTTCAACGTGTAGGCACGCCGTCGAAGGGCAAATGCAACTGCCGCATATGCGGATGACACGTGGCCCTTGCCCCCCGGCCGAGCATGTTGACGGCCCACCCTCCCCAAGGTCCGCCACATCTCCATGCACATCGCACGTTGCTTCTACCAGTGCCTGAGCTGCAAAGAAGGTTTTAGACCTCCGTTTCACCCCCCGTTGTGCAGACCCTGTGACCAGGGCCCCATTCTCCATCTCGGCTCGCGGACGCTTCCCAGTTGCGCTGCTATTCGCAGGACTACAGCACCGGCCTTCGCAGGGCTGCCTGTCAAGACCCACCCCACCGAACAGCGAGAGATGCTGCTTGCAAAAGCAGGCGACACCCTTGCATACTGCGTCGTGCCGCTCCCCCGCGACAAGACCGAGGAGATAACGCTCCTCATCCGTGAGGGCCTCCAGCTCTTCCTGGCTTCGCCGACTGCACAACTCCCTTCACCAGCTTGCGGGGGAGTGGAAGCGGCGTGCTCCTTGCCAGCCCGCACCTCACCGTCCTTCTGGTGCAGCCATACTTTGGCCCGCTCCAACTGCAAATCTGAGAAGAGACAGCCCTCCAGTCTCCTCCACCCCTCTCTCCTCTGCAGCGCTCGTTTGACCTCCTGAAGGTGACTGCAATCGGTCGTCTTGCTGCAGCCTGCACGCCTCCCCTCGCAGTACCACTCGAACTCTGCCCCCGCGCTGAAGTGCACCATCGTCCTCTTAGGCGAGGTGGAACCCGCATTCCAGTACACCCCGAACACTCTCTGCCCCACGCTACTGCACGGCACCTCCACCACCCGTTGCCCCTTCTGAAATGACCGGTGGCTTGATTGCCGACGTTCCTGGAGCGCTTGTAATGCCAGTTTGTGAACGCAAGCTGCGCCAAAGCTCAAACGGCCACGATCGCACGTGCAACTCGGGTTCCCCATCGTGTCCCAGTACACCGTCTCGAGCAAGGCGTTGCTCTTGGTGGGTCGCCCCAGAGGCTTGGGCCTCGCAGCGTTGTGGTTCCACGCGGTCATCAGAAACACAGAGCTGCTGGAACCCTCCTCGTCGATGCTATAGATTGCGCAATCGCCACTCATAAGGATGGTCACGAACCGTCCAGCTTGAGCCACAAGCGTGAGCTGCCCGTCTACATCTCGTTCTTCTTCTCTCCTATAGCGAAGCTGCGAGGAGGAGCTCGGAGTTCATGGACCAGTCAAAGGTGAAGTGGTGCCTGGTGGCAAAAACTTTGATCCGCGTGATATCGAGTGCACGAGTCAATCTACAGTCTAGATGTGACGTCTGCCCTAAAGCCTCAGCTATAAAGCGGCAATACGACCAGAGAACGAAGCGGAAACTCTGTCGCCTATGCAGCAGCCATGGAAACCCTGGAAGCGCCCTCTTGCAGAAACCAGAGTTCTGTGTTATATGCTGA